CCTTGCTGGGGTTCTGAAGGACCAGTAGCAACAAGAGGTTCCACTAATTCCTAATGTGGACAGGCAGATCTGGAGGCAGACCCAAGCACACAGCACCCTGCTGTCCTTCCAGTAGTGCTCCACTTCAGAGATCTTGCCCTTTGCCAAATCAGGGAGAACTCTCAGCATTCCACAGAAGCCCTTGAGACCTTGACTTGGAATATGTTTAATAAAGTGAGATGATCGACTTAAGCAAAGTTGTCCAGCTCCTCAGGTACCAACAGACCTATTAGCAAGGAGGAAACAGGAACAAGAATAGTTATCACCCCTAGAGTCATTCAGTAGAAGAAAAACTGCCCTGGAGCCACCTCAGGCCTGAGAACCAGAACTCCAGGGGCATTCAGTGCTCCTGCCTGTGACCTGGCTCCTCTTTCTTAGGAGTTGGCCTGACTTCTCAGGAATATGGTTATGTTCTGAGCCATAGGACTGGTTATACCCGCCTGTCCCTCTTCTCCACATGAGTGCTTTCCAGTGATGTCTGTAAGACCATCTTCACTTCCCAGGGTCAATGTTTAGCTCAATTCTGAGTTCACAAATCAGGATCTGAATTAGAGCTCATGGTTTAAATACAGGCCTCTTATTTGGGGCCCTTCCTGGCCAGGTCTCGAAGCAGTCTTGGAGGAGGGTGGTAAGAATGTTTCCCTTGAGCCCAGTTACTGAGCTGGCCTCCTTTCCAGATCATGCCGTAATGGACGGAGGCCTCAGCTCAGCCCACACTCTTTTCTGGCCCATGCAGCTGTCTCAAAAGGGCCATGTTTCTTACTGTAAAAATGGGTGGTCCATCTGTTAACCTAGCTAAGCATCAGGTGTGGGTTAGCTATAAAGGGGTGGGGCCTACTGGCCTTGGGGGGAAGAGCCCTGACTTCCTAAGCCCCTGCTGGACTCTAAAGGCTTCAATGTAGTGAATTCTCCTCATTGAAGACCAGTTCTTTATTAGGATTTTTAAAACACTAACAGCAAAAAACAAAAGCAGAACATTTTAAGCACAAAATGTTGGCTCACATATAAGGGATGCTTCAATCCATCCCAATAGTCACCCCAGGATGCAGTGAGAAGGGGAGATATCCGCAAGGCTGTAGTGAGTGCCAAGGCTGAGACTGGGATTTGCATGTTGTCATTTGTCATTGTCTAAAAGTTGAGCTGCTCTAAAAAGTGAAAGTAGCAAATGCCTGGGAAGGGGGAGCACTCTGTGAAGTCCAAGAGCCGACAGTGGAACACCTGCCATCACCTGTGGTCTAGCTGAGCCCAGGCACTGCCACGTGGGCTGGAATCCAGGGCTCGGACTACAGGGACCTCCTCACCTACTTTCCTCTCCACCCCTACCCACCATGGGCCAGGACTTCTCCACTAGTGAAGAAGTCAAGAACCAAGCTGCAGAGCTCAGCCCTTCCCCTTTTGTATTGCTCCGCTGCCAGCTAGGATCATGTCCTAATTCTGAAACTCTATTGCCAAGGAAGTGTCCCCTTCTCTCCTACCCAGTCCTTCTCCTAGAGAAGCCCAGCATGGCCTCCAGATCTGCCTGTCCACATTAGGAATTAGTTAAACCTCGTGTTGCTACTGGTCCTTCAGAACCCCAGCAAAGCTGAGCTGGACAGGATCAGCAGGTGAGAGGCTGTTTCCACTCTCTACTCTCCAAGCTGCTCATGAAACCTGATCTTGCTGCTGTGAGAATTGTGTCCTTCAAATATAGTCCCTTTCGCCTTGAGGCAACTCTGAATAAGTTTTTGACCCTTGCAATTATATTTTTCCCCAGGCAGAAGAACTAGTCCCAGGGGCTGAGTCATTTGTCTTCCTGCTTGTCTCCCTCATGTCCCACTTCTTGTAGGTATGACTTAAAGTAGAAAAAGACAGCCACAATCCTACCCATGACCAACCCTCCACAGGAAAGTGCAGTGGGATGGCCTGGCGGCTGGCAGAGCCACAACCAGCCCCAGGGCTGTGGCTCCATCCCACCTCCACCACTGGACTGCAGAGCCAGAAGCCTGCCCTGGTGCCAGGCGCCAGTCAGCTAAGCAGAGCAGGCCTAACTTAGTACCTTTGAGGCCAGGGTGGCTTCTGGCAAGAACTCCTGTCCTCTGTGGGACAAAAAGACAGAGGAGCAAGGCTTGCCCTGGGCTGAGGGAGTTCCTGGGATGCTGAATTTCCAGTTTCAAAACAGAGAAAGTCCTGGGCAAGCCAGGACAAGTTAGTCATCCTGGAAGAAACTTGGGTGTAAAGAATAGAATTGGGGGCTGTCTCCTAATTTTGGCTACAGCCTCACTGAACCACCTGAGGGTCTCTTTTGGTAAAACAGATCTGCCTGTCTTGAAGGGATATTATGCAGCTTCCATGTTGATACATGGAAAATAACGGACACTTGCCTTATTGGAAGGTGCTCTAACAGATCTCTCACCCTCCTTCTTCCCACCCCTACTTCCAATAGGTTGTCTTCCCTGGACCTGGGGTTTAATCTGAAATCACTATTCTCCTTCCCATATCTGTAACCAGTGAGCAGAAACCTGGTGGGGTTGGAATGTCTCCTTTTCCCAAGGTCCTTCAGGCCAGCTTCCTTTCCTATAGCCCACAGTTTGAGACATGTGCCTCCCCACAACTCATCTATGGTTTGAGCATCCTGTTTACTTTGGGGACTTGATTTGGGTGCCCATAACATTCTTCTCTGAGTTAGACGCTGAACCTATGCATAATTCCACACAGGATTGGATCAAGGGCTCCAATCCTAGAGGATGGTCCTGGGCAAAGAACTGAATACTGGTGTGGGTCTAAGGTTTGGTGTCAGAAATAATGAATATATGTGTAACTGAGGGGCTCCCCTAACTGGAAGTCACCACTACTCTTCCAAATTGAGAGAAGAACTGGCTTTGGTCATAATTCTATTGTTAACCAATCACATAAACTTTAATCCAGAAGTTCTTCTTCTGTTGGTCTACCTGTAAAATGAAGGAGCAGATGACTCCTCTGGTTCCTTCCAGCTCAAAAGTTCTATGACTGATGAAAACTGTATGCCCATGAAGCAAGTCCAAAGGAATTATGTCTGGCGATTTGAAAGTTAGCAGCCAGCCCAAGGAGGAAGAGCACAGGGGGCAAGGACGATCTGCTCTCCAGCCCAGAACTCTTGCTGCGGCATTAATGGACGATGATGGAACACAGCAGCGATTTATGAGAGTTCATGAGCAGGAAGCCTGAGGAGGCTGTACATTAGTCATGTCTGAGATTCCTTCTCACTGATACTGCAAGCCTAAGGAGCCGGCACGGCCACTGCCCAGATGAAGGACTTATTGATCCAGAAAAAGGAAGTCAGCCAGCATGCTTTATTTTAATAGCAAATAAAAATGACTTTTTCCAGGGAGGAAACCCACATAAAACTATTGGAGACAGAATTCTGGATCAAGTCAGGCTATGATGAGATAACAAAATTACATGGTATTGCCGGTCTCCAATTTGAAAGAGGAAGCATAACACCTCTCAAAAACTCAGTCCTTCGAGGCTGTTACAAAGGGAGGTCTGCCTCCAGCTGCTCTGTACTGCTCCCAGCCCTCTCTGATTGTTCAGAGACAGTAGGGGAAACAAAGACTGTTCAATGACCCTTGGACATGTATGACCTGGGCTTAGAATAGGGCTAAGTGCCAAAAATATACACAACCAACATGGCTCCTGCTCCCAAATCCCCATTTTGAAGAAGGAGATGAACACTCATGGAATGAAAGAACATACTTAGAAGCTAGGCTAAATGTTATGGAGGGGTGGTTCTCAAACCTGAGTGTGCATCAGAATCTCCAGAGGACTCATTAAATCACAGATGGTTGGGCCTCCCTCCATGGAGTCAGAGTCAGTTACTTTTCAGCAGGGCTCAAATCTTCATTTAGAGCAAGTTCCTGGTTCCTTCTGGTGCTGCTGGTCAAAAGACCACACTGAGAATGAATGCAACAGGCTAGTGCTTCCTATGCCTTAGTATACATGGGAACCACCTCGGGATCAGTTAGGCTATAAAGTCTGATTCAGTAGGTCAGGCACAGGCCCAAGAGGCAGCATTTCCTTCTTGCTTCTGGCTTGCTGGGCATTGAACCCAGGGTTTCACACATGATAAGCATACATTCTACCACTAAGGTACACCTTTTCTGCATTTCTCACAAGGCCAGGTGATGCCAAGGCTGCCAGTCTGTGGACAACATTCAGCACCCAGGGTGCTCTGTCTAGACCATCAGTGTCATAGAGATTGGAGAATGGGGGTGAGTGGGTTGATATTGGTGTAGAAGGTTTAATGGCAGTTGTTGGAACTTAGGCTAGTCCTTGAAAAATGAGACAATTTAAGTAAATGAGAAAAAGAAGGTGCTCCTGGAGAGAATACTTAGAAAGGCAGCAAAGGTAGAAAAGTGGACACCGGCCATTGTCACACGCTGGTGGAAGTGACAGATCGAGGCTTGGGGCTCCACGTGCAGGCGCCTCACTCCATTTGTGTCCACCTCACTCTCCCCATTCAAGAAGCTGGTCCAATTCCAATAAGTCTACTGGCAGCTGGTCTTCATGATGGAAATAATTACTGTTCTGTGAGCCCCAGACTGACAGCTCCCATTCCTGTCTGCTCAGCCAACTTGGATATTTTTTCACCTGGCTTGCTAGTAATGGTTTGTTGTTTGGCAGCCTGAGTGACTCCCACTTTTCTCTTCCAATCTCAAGTCAGAAGAGCCTCAGTGCTCCAAAAGTTGAGTGCCTCGAAGCCACACAGGGTGGTAATGAATTTCTCAGCAGGCAGCCAGAGCAAACCAGCATGTTTTGTATGGTGCTTAGTCATGGGTTCCTTTCCTGATTCAGTCAGGGTCATGACCAAATAAAGAAACACAGCCCTCTCTCTACCCTCCCTTGCCTTGGAAATCTTTAGTTTATAGGCTAAACCAACAAAAGACCCACCCTTTTCTTAATAGAGCTTCATTTGTGGGTGCGAAAACACAAAAATACACAAAAGGTTTGTCACCTGAAAATTGGATTATTTATTGGGTACTGTTCTTGTTTCCAAGCCCTGCCCTAACAAAATATCACAAACTGGGTGGTTTATAACAACAGAGATTTGTTCTCTCACAGTTCTGGAAACCAGAAGTCCAAAATGAAGACGTAGGCAGAACCATGCTCCTTCCAATGACAGGGAAACAATCTCCTCAGCTCTTCCAGTTTCTGGCAGCCCTGGGTGTTCCTTGACTTGTAGCAGCATCACTCCAACTTCTTCTGCCATTTTCATAAGGCCTTCATGATGGAAGGCCCGTGACTGTATTCAAATGTCCTTTTCCTTATAAGAACACCATTCACATAAGGACACTAGGAATGGTGGATGAAAGATCTGGCTTCCATCTACATCATCTTGACTCATCAGATCTGCAGTAATCCCATTCCCAAATAACATCTCATCAGAGGTATCTGTGGCTTTCACATATCTTTATTTTTAAATCAATTCAATTAAAGCCATCACAGGTACCTGTTACAATGCTGTATGTTTTTTAAAGTCCCTGCTGAATTTGACCTCTTAGAGACGTTCTTCCTCTAAGTTAAACCAGAAGTGTAAGCTGTTTTAAGAAAAATGAAAACTTAACTATAAATTGGGTCCTTTCTCAGGGTCTTGTCCACCTCATACCTATTAGCCAGTGATGAATCTGCAAACTCTAGACAGCAAGTGCACAAGCAGATTCCAATTGAGTTGTTCCTTGAACCACTCCACTCAGTTGAGGCTCTTTTGCCTGCCACACACAGTCCTAGGGGCTGAGGGTATAGGAGTGTACAAAGCAGACACAGACCCCTGCCCTACCTGCCAGTGGGAAGAAAACAGGCAGACAAAATACACAAAAAGTGGTATGGGTAGATGAAAAAAAAATACAGGGACATGAGTATGATCGGGATTTGCAATTTTAAGCAGAGTGGTCAGAAGAGGGCCAGAATAAGGCCAAGGGGCAAGCAATGCATGGCAGGAACAGCAAGAGCAAAGTTTCTGGGCAGTAGCCTGAGATCTACCCCTTATTCTGGTGACTGTGTTGAAATATACTTTTCAGATGAAAGCAAAGCAGGAGACTTGTAAGGCACAGTCATATCCGGGATGAGGAGATGGAAATTGCTGGAATCTGGGTCTGCTACTGGTACACTGAAATTGAAGTCAGGCCTGAAGATCTGGTGCAGTAGAGATGCCATCAGCTACAGGCGCAAGACTGAAAGCTCGGTTTGGGATAAGGCGAGTTTTTGCTACATCAACTCTACTTTAAAAGAGCTCTATAATTAAGTGGAAATAGGTTCAAAACAATAGACTGCCAAAAGAAGATATTCAGAGGTATTCTTGGTAGTCAAAGTTGCCTAGAAAAAACAGTCACTAAGGTAGCGAACAGAACTAAAAGTAATTTTTAAAGAAGTAACTGGCAGGAATCAAAAAAGGAGCTTTTAACCATGGCTTCCCACTGTGTTGGTTAGAAGTGATTACTTCTGGAGGGGAACATGGGGCAGGGTCTTAATTCTTCATTTACACCTCCTTGACTGTTTTGTCATTTCCATATCCATAAATATACTTTATGACAAAAAATTGGCAATCATTTTTAAAGTGGTTTTTAAAATTATAGGCCTAAGGGCTGGGGATGTGGCTCAAGCGGTAGCGCGCTCGCCTGGCATGCGTGCGGCCCGGGTTCGATCCTCAGCACCACATACCAACAAAGATGTTGTGTCCACCGAGAACTAAATAAAATAAATATTAAAAAAATTCTCTCTCTCTCTCCCCTCTCTCACTCTCTCTTTAAAAAAAAAAATTATAGGCCTAAGAAAAATGAAGTAGATTTCTATGTCCTCATGGGGAATAATGGCCAAGATAAATTATTTAAGTTACCGAATAATGGTACATACAACATAATCCTTTGCATGTGTGTGCATACATGTGTCCATGTATATGCACAAAGAAAAAGGCCTGGAAGGGTAGATATGAACCATGGTGACCCAAGGCAGTCAGAAAGGGAGTAATGGGGGAACTTTCACTTTTTACATTATATTCACAGCTTTTGCTACTTCTTAAAGGAGTACTTTCACATGTGTTTTAATTTAAGATAAAGGTCTTCCCTGTATTTTGCTTTACCCAGAACGCAATTAAATCTCCACACAATCTAAACAGGATTGAATATTTTAAAGAAACAGGCAACATGAAAACAGAAACTTTCAGTCTCCCTTTACTTTTATACCTGATAAAAAATAATGAGTACATAATAATAAGCTCTCCTTACGGTGTTTATTTCTTTCAATAGCAGTGCTAAAACTTTGAAAAGTTAGGCATGACTCCTAAAAGAACACGGAATGAAAATATGATAAATGTTTAACTCATTAATGAAAGAACCACCCAGGTGATAAGACAGCATTTGAAAAGCTAAGTATTTATGGGCAATGAAGAACTGGGAATAAAGTTGCCAGGTTAGATGCAAAACTGGTTAGCATTCTTTAGAGCAACAAAACCATAGCTTTTAGGGTTATCTTTTCTATCAGACAGTGCATTTGCATCTCCTCTGAACAAAAATTGACAAGTTACATGTAACCTCAGAGTCTGGCCCCCAATCAAGAGTAGAATTAAACAGTCCTCGGGTGGGTCTGTTAGACAGCTCAGTATGATGTTGAAAGAACATGCAATTCCTCCTTTTGCCTTTTTTCTAAGTGTTGGATGCTGTTTCTTAACATAAGATACAAATTTACATACTGGCAGCCACAGTTTTAAAGTTTCCAAATGGAGTTTGCTCATAATATTAATCTGCTTTTCACCATCCTTTATGTCTGTTTTCAATCAGAAAGAAAAATGACCAACAAGCAATTCTAGCATTGCAATAATGTTGCATTATAAAAATGAAATATATTTTAACATCATTTGGATACTTACCTTGATAAGTATTAAAACATTTTATGAGCAATTTAAATTTTTTATCAGGACCCAAAAAGTCTATATATCTGCTTTGAGTTGATGCCTGCCCAGCAACAACAACAAAAATATCAAATTGGTACAAACTGCAGTTTCAGATATTTGTAAGGATTTGGGGCAGACTCTGAGCAAGTTACTGAATTTCTTAGTTGCAGCTTCCTCCCCTGTGAAAAAAGACATTCTTCTCTGCCCTGCTACACGCATAACTGTATGCTGATCCACAGTGCTATACCATGGTTATGTACATATTCACAGCCCATAATTTCTACTTTTTTACTTCCTTACAGGGTTTTTAAATTGTCTTTTACTACATGGATTATTGTTTTTACCTATGAACTGTTTTTAACCCGACAGTTTTTCCAAAAACTGTATTTATCATCTTCCTTTCCTTTTCAGAAAGAGTAAAATGTGGTCTTTTGAAGTTTCCTAACATTATATATGAAATGCAACAAGTCTCTCAGTCTCCCTTCAACCCCCGACCAAGTGCCATTTGGCCATTTGTGATTGAAATCCCCTTCCCCTAATTTACTGTCACATTTTTGAGAAATATAGGAAATGTTAAAATCTGAATTTATGTAGAAGCAGTTAAAATTACACACTTAGCTCACATAGCAACAGCACAGTCTGCTTTTCACAAAGCACTTGAAAAGTTAGAACACATGTATGTCAACAATCAGTTTTTTAAAAATAACAGTCTATTAGTCCAAACACCCTAAATAAATTCAACACCACAGCTGCAGGCAGAGACATACCTACTAATTTCCTTAACACAGCTTCTAGCCAAAGACTATCACATGAAGCAAATTAGGATCATGCTGCATATTTGGACAAAACCAGAAATGGCATCTTTGATCTGTTTTCAGCATGTGCTATTATGTTTCTGAAGCACACCCATGCTTGGTCTTTAATTTCCCTAAAGGTGCTTTTCTGTGTTATAACACTATTAAGTATAGTTTGCATGCAGAAAGAGCACGAAACCCAAAAAGCTTGAAAAAAAATGGTGCAGAAACTGAACACACTTTAAAACCATCTAACTGTATATTTCAAATAGATGAATTCTATCTCAATAAGGCTTTTTTAAATGCATTTTAAAAAGTAAACATTCATGTTATAACAGTTTGTGTGAAAATTGCTCACTTTCCAATGGTTACACTTGTTTTCATTGTTGAAACAATTTGTTTTCCTGTGAAAAGTGAGTATTATGGAATAAAATGGAATTCATAATTTTTCCAATTAAAAGTAATACAAATATTTTTGATTCAATGGCTTTTCAGTTAGAAAAAGCATTTTTAGGGACAAATGGAAGTTGTTAAGCAAGAGATAGGTTTAATTATTTGAAACTTCTCGTTAAATTTTTAAGGGGACTAGACTCAGCAGAGATGGGCTGTTGAGGCCAGAATATATACTGAACTGATTTGCCCTGAGTGGTGAGGATAATTATATTATGCCCACTGAGAAAGACTTATGACCTATAAAATGGCAGAGGGCCAAGCCTATGTTTAGGATAGAGAAGCTAGTAAAAGACAGAAACCCAACATAGATTCAGGAAAGAATAATCTGATGATGACTAAAAGCTGACTTGGAAATTTAAGCTTGCTTTCACCAGCTGTACCATAGTTTGCTATCGTAAAATCAGTCCAGGGTTTTGTTCAGTTCCAGACTTCCAAAAAAGACAAATAGCTTCATGCTTCTCAATTAGTGCTAAGAATAACTTTGTAATCTCAAAAGTAACATAAGTCCATTTATTCTTTTTTACTGTACTTTGAGAAAGACAATTCTTATAACAAACTATAATTCTCTTCTACTTTGTTTTTGTAGAGGGAAAAAATGGAACAATTCAATTTAGGCACTTTTCTAGTAAGAAAATGAAAAGAACTGAACAAATTCTGAAGTATGGGAACAATAATGAACATAAGAGTATCTTTAAGGTAAATATCAAAGGTATTATTTAGGCAACCAGAAACTTAGAACCCAAATGTATAATGCCTCATTTTGAAGACCATAAATGAGGTAAATGTATTATTCCCTTGTTATTTCCAGTAACAAGAAAAAAAATAAGTCCATCCATTCACAATAAGGTAGTGCTGATTCTGAACTTCACTGATATTTTTCCTTTAAAAGGATGAAGAAACTTTGAATAATAAAATCCAGACAACCAAATGAAATTTTTTAAACAATTTTTCTTTTTCATATTATATCTGATCCGAGGCAAGAGTAAAGTAAAGAGAATATAAGCCAAGAAAAAAAATACAGTTATATAAGTAGCACTTAAGTATTTGATTCTCTTGAACTAGCTTTAAGCTCTCCCAAGGTCTAGAGACTTTGCTTTAAAAAAAAAAAAAAAAAGTTTTCTTAAAAGGGATTTTTCTGTCTTCATGCAACTTTATAAGTTCTTTTAAAGACATTTCCAACAAACGAAAAGATATATCATATTGGAAAATGTGACTAATTCCAGAATATAGACTTTATTTCTGGCCATCTAACTTAATTTCCTCTTCATAGTCATTCACCTGCAGCCCAAATTCTCCATGTGTCATGCCAGATATTATTTATGAACTACAAACAAGGCAATTAGTTTGTCTGCTTCGTGAGATCTCTTTTACTTAAAAATTAAGAAAATTATTAAGGCTGATGATGGTTATTGCATCTCAAAAGGCCACTGAAGCTTGGCTGCGCCTTCCTCTGGAGACAACAGGCAAACACACTTTTTTTTCTCCCCAGGAGGGTAATTTCCATTCCAGAACAGCTTTCCTGCAGCAGCAATCAACTAGTTTGGTAGATCTCAAGATGAGGGTCTGTATCTTTGAAAGCCAAACCACAACAATAAAAACATTCCACTATAGATGGGACGTGCTGGCTTTGGCTTGTTTTCCCTTCAAGCTCGTCCCAGTTCTTGAGTCTCATCAGAGCCCAATCTCTTGTTGGCAGCACATGATAAAATGGAACTTTCAAAGCTTTACATTTACCATGTGTTTCTGTCAAATCCTTGCCTCTCTATCCACCCCACCCCACCTGCAAAATCATTAATTTGAACAGTGCTACTTATATAGTAAATATTCAGTAAAAGTTGATGACAATAATTATGGTCATTATCCAGAGACAGAAAAGTATGTGCAATATTTAAAATTCTAATGTCTTATCTATGATTTCTAGAGAAAACTAAGTATAAGTTGATTTCTTTCAAACTGCTCTCCTGCAGGACATATCTTTATTTTTAAGCCCAAAATGTCTGTGTATCCTGGTCACATGAAACAGCTTTACTCTCAAAGCAAGTGGAATGGGGAAAAAAATGAGCAGGGGATGAATGATTCTAGATTAAAAGAAATCAGAGACATAACACAATGCAATGAAACCTGATTGGTTATAGACTCCGAAATAAAAATCTACACATTTTGGGAATAATTTGGTAAATCTAATTTGGACTGGATATGGAGGGCTTTGTGACACTTTAATTCATATTAGGTATTATAATAATATTGTGGTTATAACAAGGATGCTTTTTATTCTTGGAAGGGACAGGCTGAAACACTTGGGGTAAAGTATTGTGATGTTTATCTTATTATGAAGTGGTTCAGCAAAATGTATTAATTTTAGACATAGAGGAGAAACAAATGTGGCACAATGTTAACAACTAATGAATCCAAGTGAAGAGCTTATGGGTGTTGACTGTATTATACTTACAACTGTTCTACAGATGAAAAATTTTTAATTATAAGTTGGGAATTTAAAAATTAAAATGTTCCACTGAAGAAAATACCATACATTTCTTTAAATATTTTACTATAATTATATGCAATTATACATTAATATTACTTATTTACATTCAACAGTTTCTCAACCTGAAATTAACAACTTTAAATAAATGAACTCTCAGTACCAATGCATGAATCTTTTTATCTTAAATATAAATCAAAGTAGCTATTCTAAATTAGAGCCCCTAGACGCAGATGTAAAGATCATGAATTAACATTTCAACTGAGTTAAAAATTTCAATAATTTTTTTCAGTATTTCTTCTTTGTTTTTCTTCTTTGTCTAAAATAGTCTGTTTTAAGCTCAAAATAGCATCTTGAAATCCAGGATTTAAGTCTAGTACTTTCTTGAAATCTTTCAAAGCATCATCGAAATATCCTGTACCAGAACCCAAAAAATAAAAGAGAAAAAAAGCTGAGTATTTGTGAATGTTATTCATAGCAAAATCTGGATATATAACTTTTATGTTTATGAGCTTTTGACCACTTGTAGTATACCAAGTTTTTACTCTTAATATAGGGGTGTGTAAATTAATTTTGTGTGTTCTTATGGAATAATTACACCTCAAATTAACTATAGAGGGCTGGGGGTAGAGTGCAAGGCCCTGGGTTTGATCCCCATACAGCAGAAAAAAAAAAAAAATGAAGCTGGCTGTAGTTTATTTATAAGATTTAAAAAGTTAAGTTTAAGTAGCATAAGTCCTAAAATTTTAACAAAACTATACAACTGCAGTAAAATTGAGAAATAGGAAATTAGTTTTATTTTTAATTTTAAATGAGAAACAGGATCCACAGTCTCTTTAATAAAGGGATCTGAAACTTCTTCACTTTCTATTGTCTCAAGGGTCTTCAGAGATCTTAACTCAGAAAAGTGTCACAAGTGACCATCTCCATCACCCTCATTATGCAGTTGGGAATGCAGAGGCATAAAGTAATGGGGTGCCCCCCACTCCTGCACCCAGGTCAATTCCCACCCCAGTGCTCTGCTGTGATCTACAATGGCCATCAAAAGCCTAAAATAAACTCAGGTACTCTTCTTCCTTCCATGCTCCAAACCTAAAGTTTGTGTTACCTTTAAAACTTGATGACTGCTACATTTGTTTCACAACATTTAATAGCTCTGAAATAACAATACAATCAATGAAGGAAAGCAAAAATAAAGAGATAAATTTAAAAATTTCTTACCCAGCCTATACAGTATCAACCCTCTGTTGTAATATGGAACTTCAAAATTGGGTTGAATTTCTATGGCAGATGTGTAGTCATCCATGGCTTCAAAAAAATCAACCCTCAAGTACTTGATTTGCCCTCTGTTGTTATACGCAGTAGCCAAATCCTCAGGGATGCATTTGCTTTAAACAAAAAGTTCACATTAAAAACACAGTATTACCAAATTCCTCTCATTTCTATTTTCATATTCTTTTAGGCATTGTCAAACTTCATAACCTATAACATGCTTTGTCTATCTACACTGAGAAATCATGCAAGTAAATAAGGAACTGAAATGAATTTTTGTCTAATCCCATTACTTTTGTAGGGCTACAGAACTAAGATGTCAAACTGAAAAGCACATGAATTTTATAGGGTGCTCAACACTCCTATTCACTGCCAACATGTTTTGCTGAATATAATATTAAAATGACTTCATTTTCTAAGCACACACCAGCAGGGTAAAGAAGACAGTTCAAATCATGTTGAGCAAGAAGGGAAAGGCAGCCCAAAGTTCAAGTTTGCTACGGATGGATCACAAAGTGAACCACCAAATTTACTTTCAAAATTTGAAGTGACCTTAAAACAATGGGACTTGAAATCATTTGCCACCAAAGAAATAAATACTAGTTAACCCTAGATGAAAATTCAATACATTGATTCCAGAGAGTAATCTCCAGCCTTAGCTGAAGAACACCAGGCTGGCTCCTGAAGGGAGGGTAGATTCCGGTTAACTTGGGAGTTCTGTGTGCAGAATCAGTTCTGCCCGTGATAGGCTCCAGAGACTGCCCCAAGAGCTTGAAGTGAACAGACTTTCGTAAGGGGACTGGACAACCTGCAGTTCCAAGAAGCCACCAGTTCAACAGGTCTCAGTCCCCTCCCTATTACTTGAAACTCTGTATTGGACAAACTATCTGCACAGAGAATATTAGGGATTCTTCTCTGAGTCAGAGATGATTCTGTTTCCTTTCTTTTTTTCAAAAGTGACTCTCAAATTCAAACCAAACAGGAGCTGCAGATTAAACTTGTCTGTCATTTCTTCATTATACCCCATAGTGCAAAGTGTAGTCCTTAGAAAATATCTGTGACATTGGTCAGCTACTTAACATATCAATTCTTTATCTTACATAAGCACTGTAACCACTGGTCAGCTGAGGTACTCAGTCCAAGTTTGCTAAAAATGGAGAGGAACTGCCACAATTTTAGAAAATCTCTGTTTCGGAAGCCATTACAGATTGATACAAGACTACTTCTAGATGCCACTAACACCACTGTTAAAAGTTGGAGAACCAGAGGGTACAGGCCCTACATCTGTCTGTTAGGACACTAGTCGAACTGCTACCCAGTAGTTTGAAGAAAAAAAAGAAGTGTCGGGACTTCAGTAAGGTTTTAGTTATAAATTTGAAGGTTCAGAGTTTTGTTATAAATTCTTATATTCAAAGGATCACACAGAATGTTCAATTTAGTTAGATCTCATTACAACAAATTCTAAAAGCCTACTTTTTCATGAAGAAGTTTTGCTTCCAATTTTAAAGAAATAGGATAACAGTTGACACTGAAATTTTTTTTACATTAGGATTTCTGTGAAGATAGTATTTCTTGTCATGAAATTTAACCAAGTTACCTAATCCAAATGTGGATTTTTAGCATTTGCTAGCTTTGGCAAAGACAAAGTACTTGAAAATTAGATTACAGCTATGATTGCACCTTTGGATATTAAAAAGAAAATGTAATAAAGCATTCAGAGTAAAAGGCATTTAAAGATTGCAAATGGGGGCTGTGGTTGTGGCTCAGCGGTAGAGAGCTCACCTACCATGCGCAAGGTCCTGGGTTTGATCCTCAGCACCACATAAAAATAAAATAAATATATTTTTTTTAAAAAAAAAGATTGCAAACGGTGTTTCAAAACAACTCAGGGCCCCAATATTTTAAAAAGAAGTTTAAACTCTGAAGGATATACTTAGAGGGGAAAGTTAACCGAATTTAATTTCAATTCATGACTTCCTAGAGGAATTTTAGAGCTGTTAGGAAAGTGGAGGCTTATTTTACAGATGAGAAACTGAGGCTGAGAAAGGTGCAGTCCTGCAGCAAAGCCAAGATGAGAATACACACATGATAAAGTCCCTTCAAATAAGCCACGGCCAATTTTTTTTCCTGTGTTGGTAAAGGACCAAAATTACATTTGCTATGGACACTTGGGTTCTGGGCTGAGACATGCAATGGAGGAAGTCTAGATGACATCCACATAAACTACTACTGAATATATTTTCAAACCTACTAGACAGGTCTATTCTCAGAGATCAAAACAAAGATAGAAAACTAAGTTTCCTATGTTTACCTTTTTTTTTTCCCAAGGGGGGCAGTGTAAGGCAGAGATGGTGGCATCATCTCACTGTCCATTCAGAAACTTTATTAACTATAATTCTAATGTATTCTTGAGAGAACAATTTTATCTTTCTAGTTTAATTCTATATGAGTTTAACACGGTAAAAATCAAGTCTTCGGGTTTTTTTTATTAAACTTCAAAAGACTACGGGCATCTGAACAAGAAAAATCAAATCCTCCAGGGCAGAGGAGGAGGATGGTGCAGATCTTTCTCAATTGTCAAGGAAATCCAACCAGCTCCTTTCTTTTCTTTCCTCACCTTGGTCCACTCTACACCATCAACAAGTACGACAAAGGCAAAACTTGAAGCAACAACAAATGCTACATATCCAGGCATAAACCCCAAAGATGCTCTGGACAAGTGGATGTGGGAAGGTGAGGCCGCTAAAATCACAAAAAAGAAAACAACCAGACTTTACATACTTCCTAGCAGAACCACACTCATCTGCTTATAAAGTGTTCTTGCCATAATGTTCAATTAAACGTCAAGATTTTACTACCAATTCACAGATGACCACATTAAATGACATCAGAGGGATGCATTCAACAGATCCAAAATACGGAAACTCTCAGGACACAAGATTCAGTTTTCTCAACAAATAAACTGCTGGGGGGGGAGGAAGAAAAAAAAACACGGAGGAGGGCATTAAAGATTTGGAGTCCAGATATGCAAAAAACCTAACTAGAATCAATGGCTAATAACACACCAGGCAGTAGCAGTAAAGTACTTTAACGGCCAATCAGGAAAGTCCAACACTGGCCGGTTATTTGGCATCAAGGATATCATGGTTACTTTCTAGGAATCCTTAATGTGAGGAAATGCCTTCCTAAACACCCATGAACCGCGTGTCTGTGTTAACTGACAACGTTTAAGCGAGGCTGCGGCTGCGGCACGGTGTTCCGACGAGCCACCTCCTGGGTCTCGGATCTCCGCTAACTGCGGACGACAGCCCGCTGCGCTCCCCGCCTCGGGCTCGGGGAGAGACCTGGCGGCCGGCCCAGGGGTCGGGGGCGGAGGAGGAGGCAGAGGCTGCGCTCGCGCGCGCTCCCGCGGCGGCTTCTCGAGGCGGGCTCCTGCCTCGGGTTCTCCCGGCCTTGTCCTAAGCCTCGCTTCGGTCTTTCCGAAACACAAGCGTCCCCAGAACTCCGGGGAAGTACCGAGGGGACTAGACGATCCCAGCCACGCACCCTTAAGCCGAGACGCTGTCGCCCCACCTCTCGCGATAGTTACCTCCCCAGACGCGCGCCGACTGGGGCTGCACAAGCGCCCTGGCGAATATAAGCGGAGTACAGCGCCTCGGCCTCCGCGTACTCGCCCTTATCAAAATGAGCCTGGGCGAGTGCTAGGGTATCATGGCTTCCTTGCCCTTGGTGTCCTTCCATAGCGGTCGAAGGCCTGGCTCTCGGAGGGGAATAAGGATTTACTTCTGAGGTATTAGAGGCGGCGCCTCAGAGCTCCTACTGCACCCCGGAATTTAGTTTACCAACAGAACCTCGGCGTTACGGGGAGGAAGTTTGAGTCTTGTGAGGACCCTTCTTCTCGCGAGATAATTGGTCCGCTAACGGAACGCGCGGGAATTCAAGGGAAGCTTGAACAGGTTTTAATGAAGTGTTTGCCTTGGTATCGTTGGTTCCACCTGTCTCCCTTCCTGGAAAAATCGACAAGTCGTCCCAAAGGATTTCTAAATCCACGTCTGACGTCGCGAGGCACGTGCCCTCAGTCACAGCGCACTAGAGCCCATTGTGCTGGAAGCGGAAACAGGAAGCCTGCCGTGGTTCTAGAGTGGCTCTTTGTTTTGCAGCTGGCTTCCGGTGAGGCGCCCCGCTTCGCAGAACGCGGAGTTTGGGGTGTTAAGTAGACAGTGGTTACCTCGAGACATTTGGGTTGGAATCCTCTAGGCTTCGTGTCCCACGGCTCTGAGCCCGAATTCAAACCATACCCAAGGTTAGCTCCAACAACGGAGATGGCGAACTTTTCCACCTTAACCTCAGGACTTGTGTAGGGAAGGCTTAATTAAATCACATACTGTATCTTCGATAGTCTTCGATATTTTGTTGTTTGTTTTAATGGTTTTTAACATATGCAAAAAGATAATATCATTTAAATGTATGCTATTGGGAGAATGAGTTAACCATTTGAGGAAAAATACTTTTAAACATTTAAGTTACCAATTCACAATACTTTTATTCCAGGTGAGTCAGAAACTTAAAATATTTTTTAAAGTCTCCAAAAATAAAAAGTAGGATGAAATATAATTATCTCAAATATAAACAGGTCTTTATACATTAAAAAAAAAAGGAATGCTATGGTTTTATTGTGTCCACCAAAGTTTGTGTGTTGGAAGTTGAATCTCCAATGCAACAGTGTCTGGAGGTAGATCTAATAGCAGTTATCGAGAGGGTTCCACCTCATGAATAGATTAATGCCAGTTATTTAAAGGGCTTGAAATTGAAGCAATTTCTCTTGTTCTCTTGCCATGCTATGCCTTCTGCAATATTATGATGAAGCAAGAAGGCCTTAACCAGTTAAAGTCTCATGACATTGGACCAGGCTCCAGAGCTGTAAACCAAATAAATTCCTTTTCTTTACAAAATTACCTAGACTGTGGTATCATTACTGCAACACAAAACTGAAGAAGACAAGAAAGAAAACATTACAAAGAATCTGGTACAATTAACTATAAAAATTAGGCAGAGAGGAAAGAAACTCTCATCTTACAGAATAATTATCATCTTTAACATATACAGAACTTAATGCTCAAAAATCACTTCTTGGGCATCTGCGCAGATTAAAAACTGGGAATAGTGAACAAGATGAAGTCCCCTGCTCCCACTGAGCTTACAGCCTAGCAAAAAGACACAATTTTAAAATCAGTGATTTAGTGACTTGGAAAAAAAACAGTATAGGGGGTAGGGAAGAGGTGATTTCTGTTTTATAAAAGTTGGGTGAAGACTTTATAGGAAAGGTGACTGAGTACAGACCTAAAGCAAGTGAAGGAGCAAGCCAAACTGAAATGGGTGAGGAAACCAAATATAAAAGCCATGAAGTAGAAGATTTGCTCAAGGAGTAGCAAGAATATTCATGTGTCTCAACATCCAATGATCTGAGAGGAAGAATAGCAAGATGTGTACAAGATTAGAACAGAAATAAGCTAGTAGGAAACCAAATATTGGTTCTTTGAAAAGATCAACAAAAATTAATAAGCCTTTAGCTAGTTTGACTAAGTAAAAAAAATTACATCAGAAGTGAAAGTGAAGATATTACTTTTAATTCTACAGAAATAAAAAGGATTATAAGAGCACTATGAAGAACTATATGCCAAAAAAAAATGATAACTAGATGGAATTGGCAGACTCCTACAAACAGAATACCAACCAAGATTGAATCCTGAAAAAACAGACATAACTAGTAAAATTGGATAATTAAAAAAAAAAACTCATGCTTATACTGATGAATTCTACCAGTTGAGGCAATTCTTCTTAAATTCTTTCTAAAAATAAAACAGGAGGGAATACTTGTTAACTTTATAAAGCTATCTGTTCTCATATTAAAGCTAGACTAATATCACTTATAACACTGATGGGAAAAAAACAACAAAAAAAGACTAGCAAATAAAATTCAACAGCACAATAAAAAGAATTATATACCATGACCAAGTAGAAATTATTCCTGGAATGCAAGGCTGATTCAATACATGAAAATCAATCACCATAATACACCACAATAACAGAATAAGGAGAAAAATTACATGATTGTCTCAGTTCATACAGAAGAGGCATTAGGCAAAATTAAAAACTCTTTCATGATAAAAACAAGGTGGAAATAGAAGGAATCTACCTCAACATAGTAAAAGCCTATATGAAAAACCTGCAGTAAACATTAGATCATCAGGTTCAATAGTGACTGAAAGATTTTTCTCTAAAACCAGGAACAAGGCAACGATGCTCACTTCCATCACTTCTACTCAATGTAGCAATGAAGATCTAGCCAAAGCAACTTAAAAAGTAAAGTGAAAAGAAAGAAGAGTATCTCTGTTCACACACACACACGTGCATACACATACATGCATAAGTATACATACTACCACCAAAAGAAAACACTGTTAAAAACTAGCAAATGAATTCAAGGAGGTGAAAAACTTGTCCAATGAAAACTACAAAACACTGTTAAAGATAGTTTCTTAAGTTTTGCCTGTTTATTCTCTTAAATCACACTAAAATATAAATAATGCTTTTATTTTTTAAAAAGTTTTTTACTTTCTCATCTATATTCTTATATATTTCTGAAATTTTCAACCATGAACATGTTGTTTTTATATTTAAAGCAAACATATTAGTTTCTAAAAGAAAAAATAATGAATTGAGAAAGTAATCATAAAAATAAACAGTAGGGGGCAACATAATATTACTATTTTCACTTTGGAAACCCAGAGGCAAGAGCTTGGAGCTGTGTCAGCAAATTTAGTACTCTTGATTTTTTTTCTCAAAAGTTTGGAAATGTGATTTTTCCCCTTATTTCTAAATGAGAATATGTGATCTTTAAGGAGTAATTCTCTGCAATGTCAACCATCTGACATTTGCCTGTACCTATATAAGGGTTGGGATTTTTTCCCCCTTTGACAGCAAAAGTGGTGTAATACATCTACTGTACCTGCCCTCTCCTTGCCTTCTCCATTGTGCAGCACAACTCCCTACTCAACAACCCCCACCAAAATAGATAAATGAAGACACATTAAAAGAAAAAAAAAAAACCCTGGGATAAACACAAGTCCTTTTTTCTTCAGTATTTATTATTTTCACATAATAATAAAAACTAAAGGTCTCAGCAATTTCAAAATATAAGCAAAGCAACTTAAAATGAAGTTAGCATTTTTTGAGTGTGGTAAGTCAACAATGCTACAGTGCTTATTAGGCACATTGCTTATGTGTACAGCTGCATCAGTTGGTTCTATCATTTGAATACTTATGCCTACCATACCATTTTAAAACATAACGTAATTCAGAATAAAGAATGACTCAGCATTGCTCAAATTAAGTCCATGTTTATGATGGCCAGAAAAAAAAAAAGAATAGCAATTTCATTATCCTGTCTCCAGTACACTACCTCTGTCCATCCAACTTCTCTTCAGGTATTTGTTTTATGTAGCCACTTTTGCTTCTCTCTGTCCCTTTCATCAAGGGAGGGTTGAATAAAACCAATCAGATAAATTCATACTATAGGTTCTAGTACCGTTTTAAGTTGAACAAAAGTCCCAAGACATAGTGGCAGTTCATTTAAAAACTTCCACAGATTTAGATCCCCAAGAATCATACACATTTTTACAATAGTAGAACAGATGTATCTCTTGTGTGCACATACATAGTTATATATGTGTGGATGAATATACAGATACATATACATATATGAAAATTAGATCCACAAGGTATCAGAGTTTATCTGAATCAAAACTGAACATGAAGTTCAGCTTGGCAGCAACTCGGGATCTATCTAAAATAATTAGTTGGAGGAAAAATCCAGGGCTTAGGCAGATGGAGCTAGATGGCTTCAAGAGAAAGTTCCTGAAAGGTTTATTAGGAGAGGCTTAGGAGTTAATGAGCTCTCAGTAGATTCCTGGGTAAGAACGGGATAGGGAAAGAAGAGACACCTAAGCATCAGACCATGGACCAAGACTCACAACTAAACAGTCCTGCAGGAGCTTCTCACAATGATGGAACTAGTGACAGGCACACTATTCCTATAACTCTGAAAATTTCTTTCATTGATAAAGCAGAGAATAGTCTCATCTCTAAAAATCAAAGTCCTGTGGAAAGATATAATTAAGTTCAATAGGAGATAAGTTCTCTTGGGCAGATATCCTGTAATGCACAGATTATGTCAATCTCTAAATTCAGCTTTGCCCATTCCCATGCTTCCCTCATTGCCCATCTACCTCTCCAAGGTTGTATAATGAATTAGTAACCTTGGCATGGGGAGAAAAAATATTTCTTATTGGAATGTTGCCATAGGAACATGTAACCAACCATGAGATAAATAAATGATAGCAATAGAGATAGGAAAAAAATAAAACTGACTTGCATAAGTTTTATATGAAAGTTAACCTTATTATTTCACAGTTGTACCTCTGCATAAAAGCTATTTTATTACATAAATTTTGTACAAAAATCCAACTATAAAAAAATGAAGCTTATTTTCATATAAAACTTATAGAAAAAGACCTTATTATATATACAGTTAGAGCTTTATATGTTACATGTATTTTTAAAATCATATACATTCATCTTTCTATTATCCCACTGAACTATGGCATAAGGGACAGAAGTTGTAGTTGCTGATTTCCTGAGCAAGAACACAGTGCTTGCACACAGCACACATCCAGAACTGATACTCAGTGATTGGGCTTCCTGTGGCAACGCATGTTGGCAATTTCCCTTCTCCCCTGGAGAAACAAGAGGAAAACAGTTAATTATACTGTAAAATTTCCAATGACTCTAATAATGCATTTAATAGCCTAAAAATTGAAGAACGAAAAACATTTCAAAATAATTCTTACAATGAGAAAAAGCATTAATATGCATATAGATTAAATAAAAGAGTTTATTGTTAAGGTATAAATTGAGTGCTTTAATTATTGTATTACACATCATACACATAGAAATTCAAGCTTCAAATAAGGGAGAATGGTAGCTATAAACAACAATTAGCCTACCCTTCAAGAAGGCTGTCCAGTTCTGATTTTCTGTTATCTTTTGGATTATGTTTGGTGAAGATTTCTAGAGCGAGGTCTTCATATTGCTGTTTCTGTTCCGAACTGAGAGTCTCTAATGATTCAAGTTTAATGAAAGCTTTGGAACAAGTACCAAAAGCTCTACTGGCACATGCACAGAGTGCTAACAGAGAGTATATCTCAACTGCAGGGATGATGTCTTCATAGTCTCTCAGGTGAAGAGCTAGGAAAGAGAGAACAGTGTGAGTATTTAAAAATAATCATGATATCATGAACATGTATGGCAAAGAATGTAAATAAAGGTGCTGTCGTTTAATCCACATGGACTTGAATGAATTTAAAATAATGTTGAGAGAGGGGAGCACTAATAGAAAAAGTAGGGTCCATGATTCCTAGGTTCTGAGAAACCAACTGACAGCTCA